CAAGAATCATGGGTTTAATGGGTTCATCACTCTTCTAAATTGTTTGACTGGCTCTTCGTCACTATGGTGGTAGTGGATTGTCTAATTGTTGCAGGTAGTCTAGGCTATGCTATGTGGGGTTATATTCGTTGTTTATTTTACTATAATAACATACCTGAGACTGTGTAATTTATAAAGAACAGAAGTTTATTTTCTCACAGTCTGGAAGCTGGGAAGTGAAGTCCAAGGTCAAGGCACTGGCAGGTTTGCTGTCTGATGAGGGTCCAGTCTTCACTTCCAAGATGGTGCCTAGTGGCTACATTCTCCAGAGAGGGTGAACTCTGTGTCCTCACATGGCAGAAGGAATGGATAAGCAAGAGCACGCTCCCTTCGACCTTGAATCTTTTTTATAAGAATGCTAAGCCCTCATGACTTAATCACCTCCCTAAGGCCACACTTCTTAATACTGTTGCACTGGGGAGTAAGTTTCAGCATAAATTTTTAAGGGGACACCATCATTCAAACCATAGCGTGGATTATTTGTACCTCCAAGTATTGTCTAACATCCACTTACTGTTGAGATTATTAACAGTAAATGATTGCAATTTCCTTTTGGTCCCCTTACATCTTAGGCCCATTTTTTATTGAGTACTTTTTTCCTGCCACCCTTTGGCTGTGGATTCTAGACTATCTGTTCTTCTTTATATAGGATGCATATTCCTTTAGGAATCTTACCATTTAGGATGGTTGTAGCCACCACTATAGGCAGTGGTGTCCAGATCTACATCTTCGGTTTAGTGTCCTCCCACTTTGCATGCTATGGTTCCATCCTATATTGACTCTAGAAGACTGCTAGTTTTATATACTGTTGTCACCTGAAAATTTCCATAATAATTAAGTTTATCACTTTCTTTTTTTCCACCTTTTCTGTCATTATATCCTTCCAATGTGCCAGGCTCCTTGGCTATAGAAGCTGAAAATAATTTTCACTGTTCTTCTCCCCTTTTGTTCCCAAATGGGAGCCACCAGCCACCAAGAACTGCTGCATCTTCCTTGACAAGGCCTCTTGGAATCATGTTTTTCTATTTCCCTATCTGGCCTAGGAGCCCAGGCCTTTGTCTATTTATGTCTAGATTACTCCACCTGCCTCTTACCCAATTTTCCTTCACTTTCTTAGAAACCCAGAATATTCTTTTGCCTTTTGATCTTTATAAAATCATAAAATTTCTTACAAGGGACTTGCATGCATTATAATCATATTGGATTAAATCGAATATAGTTTGCATTTTCTTTAACGATACTGCCAGCCATCACACCAAATTAATTTTTCATTTCCAGCCAAGAGGACTTTACTCTCCATTCAAGCTACAGCTCTACTGCTATCACCTAGGCTTGCTCACCTTTCTCCTGAGTTGCTATTTTCTTCCCATTCCTCTTTCTGAATGCACATCTCGAAAATGTCCATCACTAGAGTGCTGCAGTGGCTCATGCATATAATCCCAACACTTTGGGAGGCCAAGGTGGGAGGAATGCTTGAACCCAGGAGTTTGAAACCAGCCTGGGCAGTATAGGGAGACCCCATCTCTACAAAAAAAATTAAAAATTAGCTGGCCATGGCGGCACATGCCTGTAGTCCCAGCTACTCAGGATGCTGAGGTGGGAGGGTCACTTAAGGCCAAGAGGTCGAGGCTGCAGTGAAATGTGATTGTGCCACTACACTCCAGCCTGGGTGACAGAGCAAGACCCTGTCTCAAATAAAATAAAATAAAAATAAAAATAAATAAATCCATCACTTATATACAGCCAGGGAACTTTGCGTGCCATAACATTTAAAGTGTGGAAGAGTCACTCATTTAGTTGGCATATGTTTGGCCTCAATTTAGGTATTCTATCATCAAAAGTTTAACTACCATGTTTGGCCATTTTTTTCTCCTTTTCCTTTCATTTATTAATAAGTGTTGTGATACAGTTTGGATATATATGTTTGTCAGATTTGAACCCCACCCAAATATCATGTTGAATTGTAATCCCCAATGCTGGAGGCAGGGCCTGGTGGGAGGTGTTTAGATTATGAGGGCTCACTCATGGCTTGGTGCTGTCTTTCTGATAGTGAGTTCTCATGAGATCTGGTCATTTAAAAGTATTTGGCACCTCCCTTCCCCTCTCTCTCTCACTTGCTCCTGCATTCTCCATGTGACACACCTGCTCCCTCTTCATCTTCCACTATGATTGTAAGTTTCCTGAGGCCTCCTTTGAAGCTGACGTGGTTCCTGTAAAGCCTGCAGAACTATGAGCCAATTAATCCTCTTTTCTTTATTAATTACCCAGTATTAAGTATTTATAGCAATGCAAGCATTGCCTAATACAGTTTGTAATTTTCTTATCTATAAAAAGGGAATAATAATTATCTTGAAGAATATAATGAAATCGAGAAGTACTGAGTTATAAGTTTGTATTTGTTCATTTGCTTTCTGTGGTCTTTGTGTTAGTAAAACTAGAGCAAATAAGATATTGCCTCATTTTTATTTATAGTGATGATTTGAGTTCAACAGAAAAACACAGTAATGGATTTCTATCATTTCACATTCATGTAAGTTGAATGAGTGGCACTTTCTGAGTTTCTGCCTACTACAAACCTACACAGACTCATAGTAGCAAATCAGATGGCCCGTGTCTTGGGCCATTTGGGTTCTTCTGCCATGTATACAAGTCTAATTTGAAACCATTGTACCTTAAACTCTTAACTAATTGCTCAAACTTAAAGTCATTATTTCAGATCTTTATTAAAAATCAGACTTTGCCCTATAAAATGCCCATAATTTTTAGCAGCTATAATATCTGCTGTGTAATTTTCTCTTTCAAAAAAATGTCATACTCAATTTAATATTGGTATGTTGTTTGCAACTGACTGAGGGAGCTATGTGAAGCCATTACAAACTCTAGTTTCACAAGAATTGGACTCTGAAGCCTGCACCACTGACACTCTGGGTCTGTTTTTCTGACACAGTCCCACAGCATATTTCTCATACCCTGAGGGCTACCCTAGGGGATGTTCTGTCATGGAATGAAATGGCATTGACTAAAATGAAAATTTTCTTCTCTGTGAGAAAATGTATTGAAAAGAAACCAATCACAAATGCAACAAACCAATTAAATCAAAACAAAACACACAATTCTGTGAATTAATTAGGTAGAGTGAAATATACCAGACTGATAGTCTTTTTAAAAGATACCTTGTACACAATTAGAAATATTATGAGCTGAACCAGTTGGCTCAGGCCTTGTAATCCCAGCACTTTCAGAGACCGAGGCAGGGGATTGCTTGAGCTCAGGAGTTCAAGACCAGCCTGCAACATGGCAAGACCTTGTCTCTACTGAAAAAAAAAAATTAGCTGGGCATGGTGGCACATGCTTGTGGTCCCAGCTACTCAGGAGGCTGAGGCAGCAGGATAGCTGGAGCCTGGAATATCGAGGCGGTAGTGATCTGTGATTGCACCACTGTGCTCCAGTCTGGGTGACAGAGCAAGACCCTGTCTCAGGAAAAAAAAAGTATTATGAAGGAGCTATTTTTACACAATATATAAAGGATACGAAAAAATCATGCTTTAAGTATTTCTATAAATTCACAAAATAATGTTTGCAGAATTTGCAACCACAATCTTGTTTATTACATAATTTTTAGGTGGTAAAATATTTTCATGAGGAAATCCCAACTGAGAAGTTGATTTCAGAAAAATTCATCAAATAGGAATAAGATATTAATGAGTAAAATTGATTAATGAAGTAAAATTATTGACTATCAGGAAAAGAGTGAATATGCAGCAGATTAGGAAATAATCGACTGTGGCAGAGAATGACTGTATCACCACAGAAATGAACTTTATTTCAGTTAAGGTATAAAGGCCCTACTTACCTAGTCATTAACATTCTTTTATTTTCCTTATACCTTGATGTCTCCAGTAAACTGTGTGAAACTGGATGTGGTTTCTCCACTAGAGCGTAGATGCAAGATGTTAACTGTAACTAAATGTTAAACTCCATATGGCATATTAGAACAATTTATTATTGGATCTCTTAGTAAACCTTTTAAAATGTTGAGGTCAAGTTTCCAAGTAACTCTGATGTGTCAGACAGGGTCCTAAATATATTGGGAAGTCCTTAACTTTATGAAGCTCATAATTTAGTTAGAAAGCGAAGACTAGCAGATAGATCTCTGCCAATGCAAGGTGGTCAGCGATACATAGTGGATGAATAGAGACATAGACTTGGGGAAATGAAAGAGTTGTTTGTGTTGGCCCTTAGAGGACTTTTTGGTTTCATCGAAGTAAGAGAGCAGATTAGAGAAAACATTTCATGCAGAAGAAATATTTGCAAAACTCAGGGGTAGGAAGCCTTTCTATTTGGGAGCCAGTGATAAATAGACAAATTGCCTGGGGAAGATTATTATGTAGAAAGTAATGAGAGATAACAATTTTAAAAGGAGATTGGGGTCAGACTGGGGAAAACTTTTTTTGCTAATCTAACTTTTTTGTCTAGGTCGGTGGCATGGACCACACTGTCCCAGATTTATGATGATCATGTCATATAGAATATAATCAGAAATCTAAAGAAAGTCAATGTATGTTAGATATGTCTCTCTTAAGATAAATCTGTCTGTTTTTCTCAAGATAAATATCTCTCATCTAGATATTTCAGTGAAAGTCAGAGTTGGTTGACATGAAACATAATAAAGATCTGGCCATCTAGTGATGAAGTAAGTATTAAAAGTAGAATACCAACAGAACTAATTTGGATTTTTAAAAATAAATGTGTTTGGAAAATCTCATGTTTAAAATGCATTCATGAAGCAATATTTATAGCATGTATGACTATAAAAATATATTAAACATAAACATAAATCTTTCTCTTTTATGTGACTTTTATTATCTGCCCATCAAATTTAGTTAATTATCAAAGGTGACTCTATTTAATGAAAGCTGTGTCCCAACAAAACCTATTTTCTTTTTTTTTTTTTTTCAGCGAAATAGCCAAGAATCAACAATTTACTAGTTATTTTGTCCCAAACTATTATCATGTGTGTTTGGTATGTTAACAATTTAAATATCCACATTAGGCTAAACATCAAGCACCTGTTAGCAGTGGAAACCGAAACATTTTGATGCTAAAAAATATACAAGATATTTAGACGCTATTTCATTGGTTGTCAAAAACAGTGACTACTGCAAATAATTAAATATAAAATATTGTGCCAGGTCCTCTCAGGGAAATGTGAAAATAATACTGACGATCTCATTGTCATTGTTGTGATTTTACTGGAATTAAACAAAAGCCAGAAGTTATAGATTTATGACTGCCAATACTAGCTTTGGATAGTTACAATACAGTATGTAAAATTAAAGATGGCTTTGTTTAAAAGACTGCCATAAATCAACAAAACCCAACTGTGTCTGGTGGACATGGTAGAGAGAATGTCAATTTTGAGAGAGGAGTGCTTCTAAAGGCATTTCCTTGGAGGTTCTGAGGTTTTTTTTTTTTCTCCACATTACTGAAAGGCCAAGAAATGTGGTGTGATCACTATAATTCCTACAACAAAACTTCCACTTATAATAGTTACATGTTCCCAAACTATTTTTCTTCTGTCTGCCATGCTGGCTTCCATATTCCATGGACAACTGTCATCTTTTGGTCTTCTTTTTCTGTAGTACAGCAGCCCTCATGCTGCTATCCATTGAGTAGGTAAACCACCAATTCATAGGTGGCCATCATAATGGCTGTGTTTGGAATCTGTCTCACTAGATGAGTTGTCAGACCACGGTAAAGAGACCCATAACCACCTTCTTGAATGAGCAAAGCTAGTGTCTGAAAAAAAGATCTGTATTTTGTTCCCTCTTCACATAGTCTTGTTCTTACAACTTCATGTGGTTATGCTATAGTTGTGGCACAAGTTTTTGAGGTGGCAGCAGCTAGCATCATTCCCACAAAATCTGATGCTTCTTTCACAGACTCTTCATCATTTTCCATTGTAGAAGCAGTCTTACATTCCAGTAGTTTTTGCTTTATACTTTCATAAATAACAAAATGGGTAACAGTCTCTATATACCAGCATATGAAGCAGACATGCCCCTATAAAATCCTTTTAGTCAATCTGTCTGATACACTTTACAAACACATTCAAAAGCACCCATTCACCTTTCCCCACGGTTCTTTGCATGAAGTTGTAACCGAGTCTTTATAAGCCAAATGGGGTTGGTTGCTGTGATTGCAGTAAAACCTGCCATTGCCGCTGAAATCGTGCGTACTTGGGTAGAATCAGGATCAAATACATCATTCAACTTTTCCTTGCAGTTTGAATAAGCAGCAAAGTATATTGCTCTGGAAGGGGCTACCCCCACTAAATTGGGGCCTAATCCTCTAAACAAGGAACGTGGCCCTTCTTTTTCCAAGATCAACTTTAGGCAATGAAGAGGTCCAGGAGACACTATTCGGTTGACACTGGCTCCAGCCATGGTGTTCAGGTGAACTTCAGAAATATAAAGTGTCACAGAAGATGACTGCAGTCGTGTTTTTACAACTTCCAGTGGACATGTCAGAATAGCTCCCACTGTACCACCACATACCCCGGCAAACAGATGCACCAGCGTGTCCCTCTGGCTCATTCTCTCTCCCGCATGTCCACCGGGCGCTGAGGTGGGACGCGGATCTGGCCGCCCGCTACGGCAGGCGGCTTCGGTCCCTGACTGGAGACGCACAGCGCCCCGGGGACGGCGAGGAGAGCTGGCCGAGACGCGGCTGCAGAAAGCAACCCGGCACAGCCCTCCCCAGGGCACTCTAGCCGCCCCGCCGCCTGCCTAAGCACGCCCACAAAACCTATTTTCTTTTCCCACAATGATCTATACAGAGTTATGAGATTAGGTACAGAATATTTTGCTCACTTTCATGACCACCACCTGTAGTACGAGAACTAGAAGACAGTGGTTTCTCTCCTTCTTAGCAGTTCTCCAGATTTACTCTGAGTAAGCATCACCTGGGAGTGACAGTCAAAACCGACTCACCTGGGAAACTAAGGTTTATTCAGTCCTCACTGGGCCTGGGAATCTGCATTTTAGTGAATGTACCAGCTGATTCTGAAACTGATAATCTGAGGACTACTTTCTGAGAAACATTGCCCTAGAATGAAGAGGAATACATACGTTTAGTGTAGAGCAATCTCTCATTCATAGGCAATTGTCTTAAATATTATTGACAGTTAAGTAAATGCCTCAGTGTTATACCCAGTTAAGTAAATGGCTCAGTGGTTGATGCTATTGTTCCACTCCTACATCTTTGAAGGACATCTCTCAGGAAGGCCCTATGAACTTAAAACCTACAACAGGGAAGTTTGTGAAGGTTTGTCACACATTTATAAAGCAGGGTTCTATGCTTCTTAAAGCCCTGGCTGTAAATATGCTTCTCTCTGTTTATCCTGCTTATATTATACCTTTCCTGAGTGAAAGCCCAAGTGAATTTAATTAGCAGAGCATAGATAGAACTGACATACGGCAATCCAATATATGGAATTTTGTCATAATACAGTTTATGGAATAGGGGGAGAATTTGATAAAGACTCCTCAAATTCACTTAAGCAGAACTGAATTGCACCTATTTACAGGGTACTGCCCTCAGCACAGATCCAGAAGAATGGCCAGTTCCTGCATGATCTCCTGGGAGCCCAGGCTCTGATTTGACGTAGGGAAAAGGGCCAAGAAAATCACTGTAACTTGGGGAATGGCTTTGCAAACCCAAGAAACATTCATTTCCCCATTTGTTAGTTGAAAAGGAGTAGAGAGAAGATGCTGACTCATGCTGACCCTGTAGTGGCTGTGATGCTAAAATAGCCAGTGGCAGGAACAAGAAGAGAGAAGCCCAACCCTCATTAGAGTCAATGGAAGCAATTCCAATGTTAGTAACAGCTTAAAGCAGCAAATGAGCCTACAAATCTGTGAGTGCTGCTCCCTAACTGTTTTTTTCTCATCATACCAGCATTTACCACAATGGACCTAATTTTTGAGATTTTCAGTTTGGATTTAAACGAAAGCTTATGAGATCCAGGACACTTTTTGTCATGGTCTTTCAGATTTCTCTGTGTCTAAATATTGCCTTATATCCAGTACGGACTTACTAGAGACTTCGTTGTTTTTAATTTTGATCTATCTGCAGTATTATGATTGTTTTTCTTAATGCTTAATCAGGAAGGATATGATTACTTTTTCTGTGAATGTATGTATGTTTTTAAAAGTTTGCCATTTTTTACCATAATTTTATCATGTCTCGGCATTAAAGAATACAATGATCTCTATATGGATACCATTTCTATGGTACTTCTATTCCATATAATGATGATGCTGTTTTCATTAAAGTAATAAAAAAATCTATACAGCATATGAGCAGGATTTGAAAGTTGGCACATCTAATTATCATAGTAAGGAAAGAGCATGAATGCCAATTTTATATTTAACAAAAGGCATCCTTAATTGTTGGTGGTCCCACACATGGTAGATTGACAATAAAGAACTAGTGTAACACATTTTGGTCTTAAACATAAAACAAGGCAACATAGATTGTTTTAAAAATGAAGTTTGTGCTAGTCTGAGACCTCAGGTATTAAATGTCTTCAGAAACTGGTGCTTTCTTTGATCCCTGAGAAGGATAAGAAGAGGTTAGGAGGTAGATGGTCACATAGATAATGGTACTCTAGTATAGTCCTTGATTTATTACATATAAGGAAGATGACAGTCTATGGGGATTTTTCAAGCCAAAAGTCTCCTGCCTTGCAAATGATCATTGAGAGATTACAATGTAACTCCTGTTTAAAATGTGAAAGCTGTTGGCTCTATAATTTCTAAATAGCATCCTTTTTTATTTTGATGATGTTTTCACTCATATTGTACATATCTCCCTGTTTAATATTTTAAATTTGATGTGTACTTCAGAAGTGATCACTGTTTTGTGATTTACAACCTTGGAGAAAAATAACATAGTAGTCATAACTTTGCAGTTTTTTGTGATGCATGAAGATCAGATTTTTTAATGTTGGTTAATGCTTTGCTAATTAAAGTATGCATGTTAATTAAAGCAGAGGCTAATGTTAATTACCTATATTAATGGAATCTCATGTAGCACCTGCCTGAAGCAATGGGTTCAATTTTCAAAATATCTCAATTAAGGCTGAAACTTTTGATTTGCATCTAGTAGGGTTTCAATTAACTGCATTGAAAACTTAAATAACACTCTTAGGGGTGCAAAATATCAGTGATTATATGAAGCACAGTGGAGTTTGGTAGGTTCATTTATAGTCTTCTTTAAAAAAAAAAAAAGCCTAACTATATTTCTTTCCTGTTTACTGACCAAAATTCTACTTACTCACCAAGATGCAGTGAAAACACCACCTCTTCCATTAAGTATTTTCCAATTCTCAACCAACTACCAGAGTTTCAGTTTGTTGTTCTTATTTATTTTATATTATTCTGTTTTGTATTATAGTTAGTTATTAGAATCTGTGTCCTTCGCTAACTAGAAGCACCTTGTCTTTATTCCTTACAAAGATAAGCACATTTGACAAGACACTAGCATGTTTTGTAAGTTGAAGACACTCTTTAAGTATGTGTAAAACCAGTAAGTACGTTTATTGACTACAGTGGATATGAGTGAACTTTTAGCACATGGTGATTCCACTGTTGCTACATTCATGGCTGCTCCAAGTAAAACATGAAGTTGCTGTTTGAGATCTTATTGCTTTATCAAATAAAAGATTGACATTTTCATTAATTTCTGAAAAATATAAGCTGGAATGGGGAAGAAGGTACCTGTTCAAGTAAAAATAGTATTATGAAACCAAAGAACATGTGTTTGTGCTGTCAGGGATGATATTAACATCCTCTTTTGGTCCTAGATTTGTATTTTGACTGTACTGCAAGCAGATCTGGCTTGTGACCATAAGCGCAAATACTTTAAACAAGCTGTCTATTTAAGACAGCCATCGAGGGTTGGTGTCATTTTGGAAGATAAGACATGGAGTTATCATGTGGTGACAGCTCAAATCTTAAAATAATTAATTAAAATATAGATTACTGGAGACAAGTACATTGTAATTAGTATGGATATCAGTTTTCCTGAACTTACTGTTATGTTTGCCAAAGTCCCAATAACAACCATTCCCACCGGGCCTTCGGAAGGGATTATGGGCTAATGGTACTAACCTTTTTCACATCTAGTATAATGATGGTTTCAGAAAAATAGTTTCCATAATTGAAGGGAGCAATAATCTCCTCAATAAGTATATACAAATAGATTACACACTGATTTACAGTCCCTGGAAATCTGCATTGATAACTGCTGTGCCTTGGCAGAATTTGACTCTGATAAGTTACCATCAGTCTCAGAGGGCTAAGATTTGTCTTCATTCAGCTGTAGAGAATATCAAACAAACATAAGATTTCCATGTATAAGGTGTAACTGACAAGGTGACACAAAGGAAGCATAACTGCTTACTGTACTGATGTGCTATTGGCATGCTGGTTAAAAAAAAAAATACAAAGAAAGGTGAAAGGGAATCGTATTGACTGGGCAATAAGATGTTAGCTGTTGTCTTAAAGGCAGGACCTGTGATAGCTGGAAATAAGATGTGAATGTGTCCATTAATGAAGACTGATCCAGGTTTAGATTTGATAGTGAGAGCTCACGTATTTCATGTCACACCGGTTTAATATTGGCTAGTTAGTAGATGGAATAAATGCAACAACTAGTTGGAGAAATGTGACAAATGTGCATATCAGACTTTCCAGGATGAGGCAGTGGGCCAGGTCTTTATAACTTGTAGAGCAAAGTCACCAAAGCAGCCATTCCCCATTGTGCCACCATTAAGGTAGCAGATGGCAGAGCATTAGCAAAAAGACATTGAGAACAGCTGGAAAACATCTGGTAGGAAGTGACAACCTAATGGGTATGCTGGGTTGTTCCTAATTGTGGGCAATCACTCAAAAAGCCTGGAAAGAAACTTTAGTGTGTTGGTTGGTGGGAGGAAGAAGTTGGTCAAAGCAATAAATTCTAGTTCAGGAATTTGAGGGAATTCTGAAAAGAAGTGACTTTAGAGCGTGGCCAAATAGATTACGGAGCATTCATTTGTTTCCTCCCAAGTTCTAAATAAGAACAAACTTTTTAAAGGAGTTCGTGAGGCCTCTCTGGACCTGGAATCTACTTTAGGAAGATATTTAATTCATGAATACTATTTAAAACGTGAGATTCTGAGAGTATATGGAAAGGTTAGATGTTCATAGAGAATATGGAAATGCAAATTAAACTGGGGTGAGGGAAGTAGAGTATTTAACAACTCAATTCACCATTCCTGTTTCTTAATTTACTATCTTATGACTTTTCTGGGACCTAGATAAAATTTAAAAACCGTTTTGGCTATTTCTAGGTCTATATTTTTTCTTTTTCCCCCCTAATTCCAGCCATTTGTCCTTGTCTGTCTGTATCTCATTGCTCACTCTCCTGCTTTCTCACAAGGATCACCTAACTTTTCATAACCTCTCTCTCTTTCGAGACTCACCACTGGGAGAGTAACATGTCATTTTGGGAAATGTAGAAATGGCAAATGGGCAGAAAGGAGGTCAGAGCGAACAGGTATAGTGTCTCCAGAAAGGAATACTAGGAAGTCAAAATGCAGAGAAGCCAAGGGCTCAACATGTGCTGCAACTCCAGCCCTAAATTTCTAAATTACTGCAGGACCCCCTATAAACCCTACATATCAATAAATCATGATAATTATATAATAATAAATCCTGCTACTGATAGGGAACTAGCAATCAGA